CCGCCCTCCCTTAGGCTCCGCCCACTGCGGGGGGAGGACTGGGGTCCCACTCCGCCTCTCCGTCGCCCCGGCGGGCGCGCTTACCTGACCCTGCAGCGCCACCTAGGGGCCGTCGGGGATACAGCGGAGCCTTGTCGCGCAGAGGGCGGACCAGGCCGTATTTTTCTGTTGCTAAAATGCTAGGAACGTGGTTTTCTGTGTCTTGGTTCGAACCCCAGTCCTGACACTTAATAATTGTGTCACTTGGGCTTTCTGTACCTTGATTTTCTTATCTGTAAAATAGACGTAGTAATACCTGTATCATAGGTTTGTTGGGAGGGTTATATGTGTTAATATGTGAAGACTGTCTAGATCAGTGAGTCGAATATAGTAATCAATTCATTATTATTGCTCAGGGAAATTTGAGGGGAAAAGGAGATTTGGAGCGGTGTACATTATGATTCGTTCACAATCCTCTACTTAATTGGAATACACATAACGAGTCTTAGTAACATACAAAAGAATGAGAATCACAGTCTCTACCTGCTGGAACTTCATGATCTATTCTGCAACATTTAGCCATTTGAGAGCAAGGCCTGGGTGGCAACATTTCATGTTATTGGCTTTTCGTGTTGAAGGTTTCCCCAATAATGTGTGATATGGGTGTAGCCAGAAAAGACTCACCGATAGGCAGCACCTGACCTGGAACTGGCAAAACGTGGATATGGCACCGTGGGAAGCCGAAGGCTGTGTAGAACACAGAGGAAGGACTGACGCTTAAAGCTAACGATGCATATTTTCCCAGTTGAGGCAAACGAGGGAGCAAATGTACAATACTCCTCAGCTGTAGTGAGGTTTTAAATTCAGAATATTTCATAGCATTGTCTGTTTATTGAATTTGTACAACAATGTCCATATCTTTTACCGGCACCAGGCGATACTTGTTGGCCCAGAGTGGGATAGATCAAGTAAAGCCCACCAAAGAGTAACATTCTTTTTTATTTTTATCCAAAATGTGTTTATTGGGACAGTTCCCCACTCTCCTTGATTCTGGTGTTTTTAGTGCTGCTTCCTTCTGAAGGAGTGACCTATGGAAGTCTTGCTTTTCCTCCTGTCGGCCTAGAGAGGACCGTAGAGCATGCAACACACCGTTTGTCCGGCTAAGGTTGGTAGCGATTTTATGCCATCCTTGGCGTTTCACATTCGTGAAGTAGGAATTGGGGCTCTGCACCAGGCCCCTCTTCTTCCCTCCTGGAGAGGAATGAAGGAGATTCTTAGCGAGAGGCATGTCGTCAGGGGAACTCGTCTCACCAGAAAGGGAGTGACATTCTTGCTTCCCTGTCTCACAAAGTGACTTTTTTTGTAGCAATTTTTGGGTAGCAAATTTCTTTGTAGTATTCTTATTTTCTAATTGGAATGACAGTAGCATCAACTATCATGCTTTTCTAGAGCTAGTGCCATTCCTAGAGAGAACTAGGTAAAATGACATGTATAAGTTGAAGTTAAATTTCATCCCAAGTGGAGCTTGAGTTCACTTAATATTTCTGATTTGGTTAGAATTATGACACTATTTTTTTATGCCAATATAAGTACATTTCCTACAACTGAGGGATGTGTGTGTGTGTGTGTGTGTGTGTGGTGGAAGGAAAAGTGTCTCTGGTTTCCTTATTCCTACTCACTTATCAACCCATTCCAGCTTAGCTTCTGCATTCCTCACTCCTCTGAAGCAACTCTTTCATGGAGATTTTTCAGCAGTATGCTATCTCACCTCTCTATAGCTTTCAACATAGTTAATCTCTCCCTCCTTCTTGGAACCTTCTCTTTCCTTGGTTTCTAGAACCCCATATTTGCTTGTCTCAAAGGAAGTTCAAGTTCTTTATGTCCAAAAGTATATGCATGATCTTTCCCCTAAATCTGGCACCATTTATTTAGTTAAGCAAACCAAAAATGTAGGCAGCATCCTTAACACCTCCCCTTCCTTATGCTATATATCCAGCCCATCAGCAAGTCATGTCAATTTTTTTTTACCTTATCAGTATTTCTTAAATCAATCCAAAATTTCTCATCTCCATCACCACCATAAAGTCTAGGCTACTGTCATCTTTTGTTTAGACCACTACAGTAACCTCCTTACTAGTTTTCCCAAGTTTACCAGAAAGGGAGTGACAGTCTTGCTTCACTGTGTCACCAAGTGACTTTTTTGTAGCAATTTTTGGGTAGCAATCTGTGTTTCACATGTGCTACAGTAATAACTATATTTTCCAAATGCAAATCTTATAATGCACCACACTCCACCCTCCAGCCTTCCAGTGGCTTTCCTTTACATTTAAGACAAACTCGAATCATTAACATGGCCAACAACATCCCATATGGGCTTCATCTCACATCAAGCTGCCTTCTGATCTCTAGGTTCCAGTCACTCTTTCCCCCATCCAGTTGTTCTGCTTATCTTCTAATAAAATAATTTGCTTAGACTATTTTTCATGCCCAGAATACACTACCTCCGCCTTCACTTGTTAAAGTCCTATTCAGCCCTGGCTGGTTTGGCTCAGTGGATAGAGCATCGGCTTGTGGACTGAAGGATCCCTGATTCCATTCTGGTCAGGACACATGCCGAGGTTGCAGGCTTGATCCCCAGTAGGGGGCGTGCAGGAGGCAGCTGATCAATGATTCTCTCCCATCATTGGTGTTTCTATCTCTCTCTCCCTCTCCCTTCCTCTCTGAAATCAATAAAAAAATATTTTAAAAAAACACCCTATTCACTCTTTCTGTTACAGGTTGAGTTCTCCAAGAAGCAGACTCTGAGATGAAGGTTAGTGTGCAGGATGATTATTAAGGAGTGCTTCTGAGACCAACAGCTGTGAAGGGGAGGGACAGGAAACAACTGGGCAGTGGGAGGAGTTGAGAAGTGGTGGGTCCAACTAAAGCCTCCGTGGACCTCATGGAGATCTCTGGATTACAATGGTCCTGGAGAAATATCTTACATGTTTCCCAATAAAGTGCTTTATAGCTCCAGGATCCAGTCCAGGATGATGTGTTGCATTTAATTGTCATGTCTTGTTGGTTTTCTCCTATTGGGAGCAGTCCTGGTCTCTCTCTTTTTCACGATCTTGACATATCTGTAGAGGACAGGACACTTACTTTGCAGAATGTTCATCAGTTTGGATTTGTCTGATGTTTCCTCCTGATTGACTTTAGGATATGCTTTTATGGTAGGAATACCACAGAAGTGATTCTATGTTTCTCTCAGAGCCTTCTCCTCCATCCCAGCTGTTATTATTGTAAAATCTAGTTTTGAGCCCAGCCGGATGTGGCTCAGTGGTTGAGCGTCAACCTATGAACCAGGAGTTTACGGTTCGATTCCCAGTCAGGGCACATGCCCAGGTTGCAGGATCGATCCCCAGGGTGGGACTTGCAGGAAGCAGCCGATCAATAATTCTCATCATTGATGTTTCTATCTCTTTCTCTCCCTCTCTGAAATCAATGAAGATATATTAACAAAATAAAAATCTAGTTTTGATTCATTTGCATACGGTGACAAGTATGGAGATGAAACATTTTCTCTTAGTTTAACTTTCAGGCAGCTGGAGGAGCAAGAAAAGGAACTTTTTAGAGAGGCTACTATGTACCAGGAATTCTCTTGTTTCATTTAATTTTTAGAAAATCCTTTCAAGGTTGCCATTATTTTCTGTTACAGAGTTTAATCCTCAAAAGGGTTATATCATAAATATAATATAATATAATCCTATATAATGTAGAGCTAATATGCTAATTAGACCAGATGGCTGAACGATCTTGGAATGACCAGTGGGTGGGGGGCGGGGCCAGCACTAAGGAGCAGTGATCCCGGGTGGCGAGCACAGCAGTGGTGGCGGTAGCCTCTCCCACCTCTGCGGCAGGCGGGCGGTAAGCTGCGAGGGGTCCTGGACTGCGAGAGCCCGGACTGCAAGAGGGATGCCTGAATGCCAGCAGACAGACACCCCCCGAGGGGTCCCAGACTGGGAGAGGGCACAGACCAGGCTGAGGGACCCCCTCCCCCCATGCATGAATTTTGTGCACCAGGCCTCTAGTATAATATAACTAGTAGACAAGATCACCCTTGAGATGGGCAAAGTGCACTTCAGAGTCAGCTGTTTTGCAATGTTCTTCCTGACTGCATAAATAACAACTGATTCCAATGATGTAAGAGAACCAGATTGGGGGCGGGTGCTGTTTCTTAAGCCATGTCCAGGA